TGAGACAGGGCCTCTGCCCCACACTGCCCCTAGCACGCAGAGGGCCGGGGCAGGGAGCTGGGGCTGTACACACGAGGGCAGGGTGGGGGAGGGAGAGGAGTGCATGCGCTGCCGGAGGACCTGGCTGCTGGTAAGCTAGGGAGGGCGCCTGATGCAGAGCAGGGCTGGGGTGCTGGCCCCGCAAACTCCCAGGCTGAGGCCTCGCTCTCAAGGCCTGAGGGGACTAGGGCTGCGGGGAGGCGGGCAGGGCCGCCCCGGCATCCAGTGGCCGTGGGTCACGGAGGCAAGGTGGGTGAGGGGGATTGGGGATCCCCGGGAGGGGCGGGTCCCCGAGTGCAGGGGCGCTGTGCCAGGCAGGGCTGTGAGGAGAGGGCAGGGAGGGACACGGGGCTGCACCCAGTGCAGAAAACGGAGGGTGAGCCACTGCTCACCAAGGGACACTGAGGCCGAGCTAATTCCCAAGGAAACCAGCAGGCAGCGCTGCGACGGGGGATGGCTACAGCCCCCCCCACAATCCTTCCCCCGCTGGCCCCTTTAACCTGCCTGAAGGGTTGCGTGTGCATGGCTAGCACCAGCCTGCAGAGCAGGAGCCAGGCTGGGAGGCCACATTGCAAGCCGTACCCTAACCGGCTTTTTAAAGAGCATCAGGGCTCTCAACCAGCAACGGGCCTGTTGGGGAGCGAGGCCCATCATCAGTTTGGCCTCTTGCGCAAGCAGTTCATAATCACTTCTGGTGTCCCCAGGCACGGCAGCTGCCACCCCAACCAAGAGACCAGCCATTTGAGATCTTTATTTCACATGTACTGATCGGGGGGGTGCTGTGCCCCGACACGCCCTCTCCAAATTTAGGAAGAAATCCTCTACATCAGGACTGTGTAGCACTTTAAAGACTAACAAGATGGTTTATTAGGTGATGAGCTTTCCTAATAAACCATCTTGTTAATCTTTAAAGTGCTACACAGTCCTGTTTTTTGTTTCAGCTAGACTAGACTAACACAGCTACATCTCTATTACTACTCTACATCAGTGTTTCTCAACCTTTTTTTTTTTAATGTAAAGTACCCCTTTTAAAATAAATAAATAAATTACACACACACACACACACACACACCCCTACGACCTACAGCTTTCAGTCACACACAACTTTTTTCTACCATTGCAACACATTTGTTTAAACAACTTAATCGTAACCGGGCGGGCAATGAAATTTGTGTGTGTAAAAAGTACAAAACTAATAAAGAGCTGTAAAACTTACAACAAAAATTCAGTTTTCGCCAAGTTTCAGTTGTGTTGGCGTATCCCCCAGACTTCCCTCACGTACCCCTGAGAGTACTCGTACCACTGGTCTACATTATCTCCTACCTAGTACATGGGGAACCTGGTACATGATGGCCATCCTGTGCCAGCATTGCCCCTCTGCCATCTACATCGGCCAAACTGGACAGTCCCTACGTAAAAGAATCAATGGACACAAATCAGGTATCAGGCATGGGAACCTGCAGGAGAACACTCCAATCTCCCTGGACACACAGTAGCAGGTTTAAAAGTGGCCATCCTGCAACAAAAAAACCTTCAAAAACAGACTTCAAAGAGAAACTGCAGAGCTACAATTCATTTGCAAATCTGACACCATCAGTTTAGGATTTAACAAAGCCTGTCATTGGCTAGCCAACTACAAAAGCGGCTTCTCCTCTCCTGGTGCTCACACCTCCACATGAGCTGCTAGAAGTGGGCCACATCCTCCCTGTCTGGATTCACCTCTGTGACAGGGCGTATGTGCCCTGTGGCGATGCTGCGCTCAAGCCCTGCACTGAGGAGGGGGGAGGGGCAGCACTGTGGGGTGAGAAGGCCCCCCCGGTGGAGCGTGCACTCATGCTGCTGGCCGCACAAGTGTCGAGGAACCGACCCAGGGAAAAGGGAGCGGGGGCAGTGCGCTGGAAGAACTGCCCGGCACTGATGTCCGCCTGGCAGAGAAGCTTACATGGTGCCAGCCAGCATGTGAGAAGCAGGGAAGGCAGCCATGCGGAGAGGTTGCGCAGGGCAGAGGAGGACCAGCCGGAGGCTCTGCCTAACCCTGGAGGGCAGGGAGCACACGGAGCGGAGCCCGAGCCAAGGGGGATCCCAGGGACAGCGGCAATGGCGCACAGACTTTGCACCAGCCCCAAGATGCCCAGGAGAAGCTTACGCTTCATCGCCGACAAGTGGACGAAATGGTGAGGACTTTGTGGGCAGTAGGAGTGGCCCAGGCCAGGGATAAAGCAGACTCCGGTGGGTTGGTGAGTCGTGGGCAGCACCCCACCAACCGAGCAGAGGATCGCGTCCCTATTTGTAGGGCCCTGGGCCAGGATCTGGAGTGAGGGAGGGCCCGGGTCCCCCTACTGCCCCATGCTGCTCCACAGGGGCGAGGTAAGCTCATTTTGGGGAGAAGGCTGGAGTAATCATTCCCTGGAGGGGGCATGCCAACAAACCAGAGACCTCCCAGGGGCGCAATTCGGAAGGGACTGTGGGTCCCAGATACATGTGTTGTATTTGGTTGGGTTGTAAATGAACTAAGAGGTGTTAGCCCGTGCAAAGACTCAGACGTGGTATATTTGTTGGTGATTAGTAGAAAGGGGCGTTGCCAATCGTCCAGTCGACGACATGACAACCTCGTTATCTCTGACCCCCCTCTTGATTCAAACTCTTTTCTTTTCATGTGGCTGTATATTTATACCTGCCTCTGGAATTTCCACTTCATGCATCTGACCAAGTGGGTCTTTGCCCACGAAAGCTTATGCTCCAATACATCTGTTAGTCTATGAAGTGCCACAGGACGTCTCGTTGTTTATGCAGATTCAGACTAATACGGCCACTCCTCTAGTACTAGTACATGGGGAATTTCCTGGGGTGCTGAACAGGGATTGGAGCAAGGTCGTGGGGTGGCTACCTGAAGCATCTAGCCTTTTAGCTTTCTCCATTTCAGCTTCTAATTGCTTCATTTCCACTTCCACTTGCTTTTGTTTCTCTGCTTCTAATTGCTTGATTTCCACTTCTCCATCCTTCATCCTTAGGCAGAACTCCAACGCGCTCGGAGTTAGAGATCTGCCTGCCCTAAGGACACTCTCCCACCCTGAAGACAGTGGCGAAGGAGGGGTATGTAGCCAGACAGAGGTCCCCCTGTTACATCCATCTTGCTTGCCCCTCTGAGGCGCCTGAAGCATACAGGGCAGAGAAGGAGCAATAAAATCAGCATAGTCTTTGAAGCTTTGACAGAGGCCCAGAGATGCTGGCTCATCTGACCCTGGGTAAACTGAAAACACAGAGAGTGATCAAGCCAATAAGCTGACCTCGAGGCTGCGAGAACTGCCTTGGCTGGCACCTATATTGATACGATCACAGTCAACCCAGGGAGAGGAATCTCCCACTGAGAAAAGAATGCCCAGTCCTCCCAATTTAGTTCTCTCTCTCTTACAAGTGTAAATTAAGTTCACAACTCCCTTGTAAGAACTGGCGTCACAAAGACGACCCAGCACCATTTGGCATCATAGATAGGAATGAGAAATACGTGACCCCACGGTATAAAGATGGGTCCAGCAGCCCACTCATGCTGAGTGCCAATCCATCCTTTTCCGGCTGGTCAGTTTAGGTGAATTGCCTCCCAAGGTCCACCTTGTATTTCGTCTTTCCGAGGAATTGAGGGACCAATCCTGGCCTGACACGCTGGAATCGAGCGACACAGAAGGGCGTAAAAATTGTACCCGTATGTGTCCTTTTGTTTTAGTGCATGCATAGAATAGAGCTCTTTAAAGATTAAGCTGTCACTTGGTACCATTATTTTCCATCTCCTTTTTCCTTTGTAACCATTTTTAAGATCTGTATTTGCTAGCAGTTAAGAAATAGCCATTGTAACCCTATGCTTTAGAAGTCTCTTTAATAAACCTGTAACTGGTTAAGTTTTAACCTGACTCCTTCAGTTGCTGTAACAGAACCAAGCACAATTTAAAAAACTCCAGCAGGTCATAGGGGCAGACGCAGGCAGAGCTGGGCATTTGGATCGTGTCGCCTCCAGGGGGCAGATCCATAGGGATATCCATCAGCCTTCCATAGGCTGCCCGCTGTGGAGGGACCCCGGTCCTAGCACCTAAAGACACGGGTGTAATAAGCTCTCCCTGCAAACTTTGGGGTGTCTGTCAGCCTGTTGGCTGCCTGCTGTGAAGGGATCTCGGTCCTAGCAGCTAAAGACATGGATGTAAAACTTTGGGGCGCCCGTCGGCCTTCCCTAGGCCACCCGCTGTGGAGGAACCTTGAGTTCTAGCAGTTGAAGACTCGGGTGTATAACATACATCACGCACTGCCCTGACCATTGGCTGACAGAGTATGGCACCATTCACTGCTCCCCCACCCCAGATTACTTCCCATGGGTCTCACAGGGACATTATCCTGTACTGCCTCCTCGGGGTACGAGTCTTCCCTGGAGGTGGACATCTTGCCCTGATCTGAGGCTGTTTTCACCTCAGGGTGTTGCTTAGGGAGGGTTGGTTGCTCTAGGGCTATTCTGCCTGACCACAAATGCATGCACTGGGCTTCCCTGTCCTATGCTAGCCTAGCTATCCAGTTGCCCCGAAAGCTAGAAAAAACCCAAGTACCTGTTCGGTTTGGACTCTCTGGCTTTGCAGATTTACTCTTCTGTGTACCTTCCCCAAGGCAGCAAAAGAGAGAGGAAAAAAAAGAAGAAAAAAAAGTCCCATAACTTCCAACCAGAAAAACAGAGGGGGAAAAAAGTGTCCTTTTAAAATCCTGAGGTCTGTGTTCCTGGTTCAGAATGATCCCACCTCTCTGCCACCATGTCAAGGCTGTTCCCCACTCTGGCATGCCGAGTGCCGGCAAATATACTTTTCCTCTATATGCTTTGCTTACAAAAACAAAAACAAAAACAAAAACTCCCCAGAATCTTAGATTTACTGACTTGGGGTTGGTGGCCACCACCAAGTGAAATAAAAGAAACCCCCTTTCTTCTTGGAGCCAGGAAGCACTTGGACTTTTTCTAGAGGGGAACCTCCAAGCTCCCTTACCACAAGAAAGTTTGAAAAACAAAGAAAAACTGCAGTCTCTGGCAGCTGATCGCTTGTCTCAGGAAGGCAGACACACACACACGCAGAGCCCCTGTTCCTTTCTAAGACACAAGAATCAGAAAAGTGTTTTTTCTTAACCAAACAAAAGATAGACTTAATAAGGCATACTTGATTGCTAGGTGCTACAGAGAAACTAAGTACAACAAATTAAAAGAGAGAAAATCTCTGGGAACAACTCTTAGATGGTGAATGGGGAAGAGGAGACATGGATCACACAGAGCAGTTCAAAGCAAACCACAAAAATAAAGAAAAACACTTTGATTGCGACTAGTTTCACTTTTCCCCTTTATTTACTCATGTTCCCTTCCTGGTTCAGTCCATGTCCATGCCCCAAATTCCTTGGAGGCATGGCAGTCCTGCCTGGGCTTAAATCATTCTTTGTCTCTCAACTCCTGGCTTAACTTCCCCCACATAAAGAAAGGAAGCAAGGTGTCTTATACAACTGGTTCTTCTGGCCCCCTGCCCACACCCTTGCTAGCTACCTGAGTTTAACCCCTTGGTGTTGGCCAGCACTCCTTGTGTCTATCACAAAGAGCGTGCCCCAGGCTGGCTTTTTAAAGATCCCCCCAGGCCTGCACACTCCCTTCCTTTCACCTCTGCTGGACAGTTACCTGTGGATATGTCTCTTTCCAGGTGCCCATTCATGTTCCGTTTCAGCACCTGGCGCTCATCTGCTTGCTCCAGATTGGTTGCCTGGATTTTATGCTGCCTGAGTTCTTCTGGGGTTGAGGAAGAGGCCTGATGTAGAGAGAAAAGGCATTCTGAGCTGGGCAGGTGTCTTGCTGAGGCTTTGTGAGGGCTCTGCTGTGCTTCCAGGGCTGTGCTTTGGTGCCAAACCAGCTGACCTAAGACCTGGCTAGTGACTGCAGCATTGCAGTGGGGGAGGGTGGGTCTGAATCATGCCAGCTCTGAAGGTGCCAGTCAGACATGCCAGCCAGGCACCGGGACATAGTGAAGGGCTAGAAAATTCATCCCGTTTTAAATTAAACCCTTTTCCTGGAGAACTGCAACATTTCCATTCAGGACACTGACCTGTGGCAAGACCTATGCATTCTGCTAGGTACGTACCTGGCACCGCGGCTGCTGTTGATTAGGGTAGCGTGTAGTAGCCCCACGGAGCTGGGCACTGCACATATGCAGTGAGAGACAGTCCCTGCCCCAGCCACTCTAAATAGCCAAGACAGACAAAGGGTAGGAAAAGCAAGTATCACTACCCCTCCTGCCTTTACAGATGGAGAAACAGGTGTCCAGGGCTTTTAAGTGACTTGCCCAAGACTGCACAGCAAATGCAGTTCTTGACCTCAGCTTGCCCCAGCCACACGACCATCCTTCCTCTCATCTCAGAAAGTCACCGACTCCCAGGAAACCGCGGATTTGCACCGACTCTAGAAGCAACCACCAGAAGCAGATGGAACTGTCTCACCCCTGGCGCAACCCCACTGATTTTCCTGGAATCACAGCAGGGCGGGAGGGGCCTTGAGCACTTTCTGTCCGGTGCTGTGTTTTATTTCTGCTGCTTGTAACAACACCAGCTACTTTGTAACAGACAAGATCGATTTTTGAAGTGCTCTAGGAGCCCCTGCTGAGATTGGCCAGCCCAGGCTTAGGGTGGCTGCTCTCAGACTTGGTGCTCTGTGACATTAGTGCCTCTCGTGCACAGGTTCAGACATGCTGTGATGACAGGCCATTGGGCCAGAGAAGTTGGGTTGGATGGAATCTTGAGAGGTAGCTGCTCCAGGCCCCAGGCCAGGCAGCATTAAGTCAATCTAGAGCAGGGGTCTCCAACCTTTTCATACCCAAGATCACTTTTTAATATCCACCCTATTCCTTCCCCAAGACCCCGCCCCTTCCTTGAGGCCCCGCCCTCTCTGATCCCCTTCTCTCCATCACTTGCTGTCCCCAGCCCTTATACGCTCTCATGGTACGGTCACACTGCCGCTTTTATTCCATCCTTCTGTTGGAAGAGATTTTCCGACATTTGGCCCGTCTAGATTGGGCCAAATGTCAGAAAACCCCCTTCTTTTGGAAGCCCCCTCATTCCTTCTGGAACGAGGCATAGAGAGGCTGCCAAAAGAGCGTGTTTGCTGGAAAAACTCCTGCAGTCGAGCCTCACTGTGTTGAGGCAGGAGGTGCGGGCTCTGGGGTGGGAATGAAGGATTTAGGTGTGGGAAAGGGTGAGAGGTGCAAGCTCTGGGAGGGAATTTGGGTGCAGGAGGAGGTGGAGAAGGGGATGCTGGCTCAGGGAGGGGGCTCCAGGCTGGGGAGTGTTGGGCTCAGGTGGAGGGTTGGGGTGCTGAGCAAGCCACAGGCTTGTGGACGTGAGGGTGCAGGAGTTTGGGTTGGGGTGTGTGAGGGGCTCAAGGCAGGGGGGTTGTGCTCAGGACACAGATTTGCAGTGTGGGGATGGTGCAGGAGTGTTGTGGCAGAAGACTGAGGATGTGGGGGTGCAGGAATCTTGGGATGTGAAAGGCTCAGGACAGGGGGTTCCAGGATTTGGAGTCGGGGTGGGGAGTACAGGAGTGTTATGATGCTGTGGCCAGATGAGGGCTTGGCCCCAATTGGGGGCTTGTTGACCAGGCTTCATTTTTCACAGAAAAGTCAGTTGAGGCCACAAGTGAGATACAAAAACGCAACCCCTCCAAACCCCTCAAGCCTTACTAATGTGGCCCCAACTGTGCTGGTGGGGGCAGGATGCTGGGGTATGGGATAGGGTGCCAGTAGGTGCTGGGGCAGGGGACAGGGTGCCAGTGGGTGCCAGGGCAGGGTACTTGTGGGGGTCTGGGTGGGGACAGGGGACAGGGACCAGTACATGGGGATCCTGCAGCTACAGGCCAAGGCCCAGGAAATGAGTCAGTGACCAGGGAACTTTTCAAACAGGAGCAGCAAACAGGAAGTTTTGAGAGGGAGTTCTCCAGGTAAAGGAGAAGCAAATACAGGACCCTTGAGGTAAGTGGCTGTCTGTAGCGTGTTTGGGGGTTACTTGCTGTGTGCCGAGCTTGTGTTTGTCTGTTTGTTTGAAGGAGCATGTGCTGTGGCCAGCAGTTGGAAGCTGTGAGCTTCTAAAGGTTTAAAATCTAGAAGCCTCTGTTAATTGGCTGAGCCTTAGTCAGGGGCAGGGCTATCAGGAAGGCCAGGGCTTTATAAAGCAGTGAGTCAGTGACCAGGGAGCTTTGTGAACAGGAGCAGCAAACAGGGAGTTTTCATAGAATCATAGAATAATAGGACTGGAAGGGACCTCAAGAGGTCATCGAGTCCAGCCCCCCGCCCTCAAGGCAGGACCAAGCTCCACCTACACCATCCCTGACAGATGTCTATCTAACCTGTTCTTAAATATCTCCAGAGAGGGAGATTCCACCACCTCCCTTGGCAATTTATTCTCTACACTATCCCTGACAGATGTCTATCTAACCTGTTCTTAAATATCTCCAGAGAGGGAGATTCCACCACCTCCCTTGGCAATTTATTCCAATATTTGACCACCCTGACAGTTAGGATTTTTTTCCTAATGTCCAATCTAAACCTCCCCTGCTGCACTTTAAGCCCATTACTCCTTGTCCTGTCCTCAGAAACCAAGAGGAACAAATTTTCTCCTTCCTCCTTGTGACACCCTTTTAGATATTTGAAAACCGCTATCATGTCCCCCCTTAATCTTCTTTTTTCCAAACTAAACAAGCCCAGTTTATGAAGGAGAGGGAGTTGGGAAGGGGAGTGGGAAGGGGCCAAGGTACACTTGCCAGTTTTTAGAGTTTAGTTTGAAGGTTTTAGTTTAAAACTTCCTGATTTAACTAGAAACCCTATCAATAACCTAGGTAGCTATAGGAGAGAATGCAGGCAGTAGCCAGCAGCAGAGTGGGGGCTGACCTGTTTATTGCACTCAGTGTAGCATGTATGATTACCTGCCCTGTGGGCGTGTGGTGTGTGTGCATTCAGTGCAAGGAGCTCCTGGCCCTCAGAGACCGTGTACAGGCTTTGGAGGCCAGGGTGGCTGAACTGGAGGAGCTGAGGGAGGCAGAGAAGTGCGTAGATGAGGCTTTCCAGGACACTGTAGAATTGTCCCACCTCCGGTCAGACAGCCCCTGTGCTATTAAGGAGAATGAAAGGCTCAGGGAAGGAGAGCAGTCAACAGGAGCAGAGGGGAACCTTCCCATAGTTGGGACCCTCCTTCCAGATGTTGGGGTATCCTCTCGCACTGAGGTTACCTCTCTGAGGGAAGGGAACTCCAGTTAGTAGGAAAATGCAGTTGTTAGTAATGGGAGATTCGATCATTAGAAATGTAGATAGCTGGGTTTGTGATGACCGGGAGAACCATATGGTGACTTGCCTGCCTCGTGTAAGGGTTGTGGATCTCTTGAGGCATCTAGATAGACTTATGTGTAGTGCTGGGGAGGAGCCGGTGGCTGTGGTACATGTAGGTACCAATGACATAGGGAAGAGTAGGAGAGACGTCCTGGAGGCCAAATTTAGACTGCTAGCAAAGAGACTGAAATCCAGGACCTCTCTGGTGGCATTCTCAGAAATGTTTCCAGTTCCGCGCGCAGGGCCAGGTAGGCAGGCAGAGCTCCAGAGTCTCAATGTGTGGATGAGACAACGGTGTAAGGAGGAGGGGTTTTGCTTTATAAGGAACTGGGGAAACTTTTGGGATAGGGGGAGCCTAGACAGGAAGGATGGGCTCCACCTAAACCAAAGTGGATCTATACTGCTGGCACTGAACATTAAAAAAGGTCACAGAGCAGTTTTTAGACTAAGAGACGGGAGAAAGCCGATTGGTGCAGAAGAACACGTGGATCGGACAGAGACGTCTCTTAGAGGATAGTCTATTGACAGAGATTCTCTAGGTTTTAGTAAGCAGGAGAGGATGAAGTATGGACCAGATCAGATGAAAAATATTCACATAAAAAAGAATCTGACACATCAGAAAAGGGCTCCCCCGTGGCGGCCCAGCTAAGCGATACAGAACTTAGCCAAGTGCCACAGTGTAAGAGACGGCTCCTTGTGCAAGAGCTTTTTAACAGGTGTAAGTCCTCTTGCGCAGGAGCTCTTATGCAAGAGGGCAGTGTGGATGCTCAGCAGGGATTTCTTGCGCAAGAAAGCCCTATGGCTAAAATGGCCATCAGAGCTTTCTTGCGCAAGAGAGTGTCCACATGGCCATGGGCGCTCTTGCACAAAAGCTCAACTTGCACATGGCAGTGTGGACGTTTTCTTGCGCAAGACTCCTTGCACAAGAACCCTTGTGCAAGATGTTCTTGCGCAAGATGCCGCCAGTGTAGACATAGCCAGAGTGAGAGGTGGGAGGGGGAGAAGAGAAAGAGAGAGAGAGAGAAGGAGAGAGAGGCAGGAGGTGGATGAGAGCTGAGAGAGAGAGAAAGGGGGCGAGGCAGTAGGAGGAGAAGAGAGAGAGAGGCCATTTGCGCTGCTTGCTCCGGTGCAGCCCGGCTGAGCGGCGCAGAAGTCAGCCGAGCACCAAGGCGGGAGGCAAAGGGGGGTGGGGTGGTGACATACACGCCCAGGGGGCGGCGCCTGGATGAGCGTGCATCCCCGATGGAGACAGAGGAGAGCAGAGAGAGTGAGAGGCAGGAGGGGAAGAAGAGAAAGAAAGAGAGGGAGAGAGAGGCAGAAGGCGGAGGAGAACTGAAAGAGAGAGGGGGAGGCAGTAGGAGGAGGAGGAGGAAGAGAGAGAGAGAGAGACAGAGAGAGAGAGACGGAGCGAGAGACCGGAGGCTCAGGAGAGAAGACCGATG